ATCATTATGATTTTCAGTAATAATTTTTTTAAAACACTAGAAAGAACTGTTAACAGTAATTTCCATGGCAAACTTTACCTTTTGAATTATAAATTTCTATGACGTTTCAATGATTTACTATGACTATGATTTTTCTTTTCCTGGTACCAGGGATGGAACTCAGGACCTTGTGCTTGCCTGGCAGGCTCAGTGCCACTGAGCTACATCCCCAGCCCAACTATGATTTATTTAAAACAGATATCATTATAAAGAACAAAAGTAAGCTGGGTGTGGTGGTATATGCTTATAATCCCAGCACTCAGAAGGCCGAGGCAGGATAGAGTTATGTAGTTCAACACCCAGGTTATACAGTAAGACCTCATCTCAAAAAAAAAAAAAAAAACCAAAAAAACAGGACTAGGGATTTAGCTCAGTGGTTCTGCTGCCTACCTCGCAAGTGCAAGGTCCTGAGTTCCATCCCTGGTACCAAAAAAACACACACACACACACAAAAAACAAAACTAAAAAAAAGGAAAGAAGAACAAAAGGTCTTCCAAGGTACACTCCACTCTATCCCTCTTTGCCCATGCCACCTGTGAGAGGCTGAAACTGTGCCTGAGTGAAGTGAGACTTACCCTGATTGCTTTCAGGCCATTTGACACCTTGTTTTCTTCCACAAGTGCAATAACTTCCTGTCCAACATTCAGAACCACATTGCCAGTCACAGCCTCATTGGAGAAGTAGATCAAATCATCAATCATGCCATAATCACTGCAGTACCTTGTCACAACACCCTGTATAGTTTTCAACCTGGTGTCACCTGAGACAGATAAGCAAAGCAGTTACACTGACCACAAAAGCAAGCCCCATTACAATTAAACTCTACCAAAAAAGGTAGAACATGAGGGTCCATATGGGATGGGAACCTAATGGGCTGGATTTGAGACACGGAGACCCTGTCAGGGAGTAGTGTGGGATATAGGGTTTTTGTGGCACAGGTGCAGGTTCTGAGAGCATCGGTGATTGGATATGGTGTGAGAGAGCCCTGACAGCAGAGCCAGATTGCCTGGGTTTCATTTAAAGCTACTCTATTGTCATGTGTCACCCTAGGCCTGGTCCTTAACCACTTTATGCCAGCTTTCATCTATGAAATGGAAACAGTAACCATCGTGACAGAACACATGTGCAACGTACAGAGCTCTGAGGGGCTGGCGAGCCCACTGTTAGGTTACCTGAGCCATCTGGGGAGTCCCTGACACGCGCTGCTACTATTGCCTCTTCTCATAACCATCAATACCGTGAGCAGCAGTCCCCAGGAGACTGGGTAAGCGCTAATAAAATAAACAAGGCATGAGGTATGAGAAGGCACAGCTGGCCCAGGAGCTGTGCGGGCTGTCAGCCTGCAGCTTACTGTTATGGTTTAGATCGAAAGTGTCCCCCGAAGGTCTCATATGTTCAGAAGGTAACTGGGTCACAGAGTGCTATGCTCATCCATGGATTCATAGCTGACTGGGTTGACAGGAGGTGGGTCCTGCGTGGAGGTGGTCACTGGGTGTGACTTGGAAGAGTGTATTCTTGTCTAGGGCTCCTCTCTTTGCCTGCTTCCTGGGTGCCACAGGGTGAGCAGCTTTCCTCTGCCAGATCCTTCCACCACTGGACTTCTGTCTTAGCCAGCCAACCATGGGCTAAACTCCCTGGAAACCATGAGCCAAATTCAATCTCCCTTCAAGTTCTGGGTATTGTGACCCAATGACAGGAAAGTAACTGAGACACTCATCAAGTGCCTGGAGTTGCAGCTATCACAGCCAAGCACTTGCTGTACACTCCCTGCCACATGTGGCGCTCAGGTCACCTTCTGGCACAGGGAGCTTGATGCTACAGGAGGCTGAAGCTGGAGCTCAAGCTGTCACTTGGAAGCCGGGGTCTACCCCATTATGAGACTCACTGCAGCGACTTGCTCTAGGCTGGCTAGAGGCAGCACTGGTATATCTGCACATAAACGGTCTTTACCACATACTCTGTTTTACCAGCTTCATTCCTGTTGCCTTTAAAAGAATTTTGAGCGGGCCGGGGATTTAGCTCAGTGGTTTCGTCGCCTGCTGCACAAGCTCAAGGACCCGAGTTCGATCCCCGGTACCAAAAAAAAAAAAAAAGAATTTTGAGAGGATCTCACAATGTAGCCCAGGCTGGCCTCGAATTCTGGCCTCCCCAAGTGCTGGGATTACATGTGTGCCAACACCACGCCTGGCTCCTGTTGCTATTTCTGGCATCTCTTGTGGAGACTTTCTCTTTTAGAAGCGAAAGAAAGCAACGGAAACCTCTCCCTGACCTAGAGGCCCAGGCTGGGGAGGAAGATGGAGGGGACATCTGAGCCCTGGAGAGGAGCGTGGTGCTAGGTACTCTGGAAGGACTGCTGAAGGAAACCGGACTACGCTTTTCAGGGCTCTTCAGGTGACACGGGGCCAGTGACAGGACAGTGACGTCACCTTACCCTGGTAGTGTGACCGACGGCAGCAAGGCATAGTGCGAACCAGGCTAGGTCTGCTCCCCGGCACTGGAAGCCAGGACCACTGGCAAACACAATGTGCAGGGCTGGAAGTCCGTCCTCTTCACGCTCAGGCACAGCGAAGGCGACCTCCCCTCCCCCTGTGTTCTGCACACCCTGGAGGGCCCTGTGGTCCCCCATTCTCCCCATGCGCACCTTCCACGAGCTTCTCCCCGGGATGCCGGGCTTCCTCCTCGCGGGCATCTTCCCTTCTCCAGAAGAAGCTCACCAACTTGGCCGCGAGGCGCAACATGGCGTCCGCTCACTCCTGCTGCCCGCCGAAGGCGCCTGCACGTGCTTCTCCCCTCAGCCAATGGGAGGGCTGCGTCTGTGCCTGCACCTGCCTCCCATGGGCCTTGCTGGGCCAATGGGAGCGCCGTGCCCCCTACCGCTGCTTCAGCCAACTTCCTGGAGCATGCCAAGACTGTTAGGTGTAAGAGGCTGGCCGTTTGCATGTTAGCACGTGAGAGAACCCGTGGTGCCTTGTGGGAGTGACATCACGCCTGGGCGTGGCTTCGCATGGGTGGGTGGGGTGCCCCACCTAGTAGGCGGGGTCTTGCTCTGTGGGCGTTAGGATTCTGTCCTTTAGCCAAGCGTGATGCCTGGGGGTAGTTTTCTAGATGGTCTTCGTCAAATTGAGGCATCTTACGTGGGGTTGGAGTTTTTGTGGGAAGGTTTTCAACTACAAATTCAACTTCTTTGTAAGCTATAGGGCCATCCAAGCTATCAATGTAATATTGCTCAAACTTCGGTTTGCTCAAAAATGTCTGTTTTTTAAGTCATTTGTTCATCCAGCTTGTGAAATCACGGGCATAAAGTTGCTCATAGTATTTCCTTTGTGTGTGTGATTCTGGCAGTTGAACACAAGGTTTTTGCACTGAGCCATACCCTCAGCACTTTCAAAGTTTTATTTTGAGCTGGGGATTTAGCTCAGTGGTTCCGCCGCTTGCCTCGCAAGCGCAAGGACGCGAGTTCGATCCCTGGTACCAAAACAAAAAACAGAATTTTATTTTGAGACAGGGACTTGCTAAATTGCCAGGATTAGGCTCGAACTCTTCATTCTCCTGCCTCAGCCTCCCAGAGTGCTGGGAATAGAAGCATGCACCACGCCACCAGACCCTCATTATTTCAAAATGTGTATATGATCTGTAATGAGGAACCATCTTTCATTCTTGACGCTGGTAATTTAATCATCTCTCCTATTTTCCTTGATCAGCCTAATACTTATCAATTTCATTATCTTTAAAAAAGACACCTCTTGGTGTCATGGATCTTTGTTGTGTAAAAAGTAAGTCTTTACTATTTCAATGATTTCTCCTTTACGTCTCACATTTTACTTTTTAGGTCTGATTTAATTTGTGCTTTTTCCAGCTTCTTAAGGTGGAAAATTAGATAATTTATTTTGAAACTGTCTTCTTTGAAAAACATAAGCATTTAAAATTAAATTTCTCTTTCAGCTGACTTAGCTGCATCCCACAAAGTTGTACTTGTATTTTCATCTCATTCCATTTCCAACTTCCCTAGTGACGTCTCCTTTGACTCACATGGAACATTTTGTTTTTGAGGTACATTGTTTAATTTCCAAATATTTTGGGATATTCCTGATGATTTTCTGTCGCTAGTTTCCAGTTTAATTTGGTCATAGTCAGAGAGCAAAATCTGGATGGTTGTTCTGTCTTTAAAAACTTACTGAGGCTTCTGGCCTGAGCATGCCAGCGTCACTGTGGACTGTATCCTGCAGTGTGGCTGGGTTCAGCTCTGACCAGGATGTCTTTATTGTGCTGGATCGGCTTTGTCAGGTTAATGGCAGCCTTTTTCCTGAGAGCTAGGAGGGAGTTACTACTACTTGAACTCCTAGGAAACATCACCAGGCCATAGCTGGGAGTGCACATGGGGTGAGAAAGATCCCAGGGACTTGGTGTGTGGTCTTTGATGGAAGAGATGTCCTCAGAGACAAGGGGGTACAGCATGAAGTTTGAGGTCCTGGTCTGGCTTCCTGCCAGGGCTGTGTGTGGTGGCACTGCCACTGGCAGGCTTGTCCCCAAGTGCCAAGCTGCTGGCCTGGATCCAGGGTCCCCTGTGAACACCACCCAGACACCACAACCCTGTCATGTCCAAACTGTGACCCCGCTCCAGCCTGCCCAGCTCTGGCCTTTTGAACTCAGCCTGTGTCACTGGCAGTAGATGGTCCTGGCTCTTCCAGACCTGTCCAGGGTTGGGTCCCCTCCCATCACTCCCAGGGCTACCACCTCAGTGCCAGCCAGCACCTGCTCCCCCTCAGCACACCATCTCAGTCAAAGCCATGTGGTCTCCATGCCCACAGGTATCTCTTACCCGGATGCCTCTTGCACTCCACCTCCCAGGATCCTGTACCCCTTCCTCCAGCTTGCCTCTGCTGCCCCAGGGCCTTTGTACCTAGCATGCCTGCAGCTCTTTCACCTCCTGTCATGCCTTTCAGCATGCTTTGGCCCCAGTACCTCCTTCTTGACTTCCTGACTTCTCTTCCTGCATGAAGTCGGGCATGTTACAACATGACACAGGGATTTACTGGTCTTTTATGCTTCAGTCCACACTGGAACATAAACTACCTGGGAAGGTTGATGGCCACACTATTTACTTTATAAAATTTGATAAAGTGCATGTAAAGTAAGCATGTGGTTAGGACTCAGCGGGTAGAGGGAAGGAGAGCATTTTAGGAACAATTGCTTAAAGGTTGTGTGAAAGAACAGGTTATTAAGAAACCAGTGTGGCCACCAGCAAGGAGGGCGTACTTCTCAATGACCACTCAAGGCTCAGGCCTAATGGAATTTGCTCTGCACCCTGGATTCAAGGAGGCTTGTTTGCGTTTCTGAGTAAAAAACAACTTTTGAAAGGGAGAAAAAAATGATTGAAATCTACTCGACCTTTTCCTTCAAACAAAAAGAAACACAGAAGGACTTAGTCCCTTTGGCCCAATTTCCACTAATTCCATTGACTGCTTTGAAATTCACTATAGAAGTTTGGGAGATTTCTCCATCTCTTCAAAATAATTCTTGACTTTACAGGTAATAGCTTGTGCAAATTATTTCTAATCCTCCTTGTTGGGTTGAAAAGCTAATGAAGCCAAACCTCTGTGACTTGAAAGCTGATGACTGTGCTCAGGTTTGATGTGGATTTGTGGTTTAAGGAGCTGGTTTTTCAAAGCATTTTGGTCTGAGGCTCTTTGCAATATGCACAAAGAAACTGTCGCTGGAGCTGCCAGGGTGCCAGTGTCTCTGTGTGGAAAACATTCACGTCCTTTTTCTCTGCCTGGTGAGCAGGAATAAAGGGCACAGCCAGATGGTGCTTGCCAGCACTTGGGGCTACCACGGGAACCGATGAGTGGAATCCCAAGCAGTCCAGGGCCGGCTGAGCCAAGCTGAGAACATAAAGGTTCATGTGACTGACCTTAGGAAGGAGATTTCCATTGTGGGATCACAGGGGTTGGAGAGATGCTGCTGGAAAAGATGTGGACCAGAACTTGGGCTGAGCTGCCTGTTTGGGCACAAGGTTGACGGGGATTCTGTTTGCAGGGGACTTGCTCTCAGCCACTGGTCTTCCTCCGGAGACACCCACCTGGCAGGTCTGTGGTGAGGGGGATCAGGGAGGGCCCTCCTTCCTTCCCGAGTCAGGGCAGGATAGCCCCAGGCAAATGGTTATGCAACCAGTGTGAATATCTCTGGGATCTACTCTCTGGATCCTCATTGAAATTCAGAAAGTAGTGGCCTCCTTGGCCTAAGTGCAGTTTTGCTGAGCTTTTGTTCCATTTGTGAATAGTTCTGGCCGGAAGCCCCTCACCCGGAGCCCAGTGGTCCCAACAGCCACCGCCAGCAGTGGAGGTAAGCACGAAGGGGTGAAGCCCCAAGTTGGGGCGACTTTCGGATCGCTTGGTCGGTTGGGTGTAGGCAGTGAGTCCCCAGGGTGGCCTGGGATTCATGCAGGAAGTTGCTAATGGAGGCTGAAAGGTCTTGTACCTGAGACCAGGGTAAATGACCCAAGTAAACCCCAAATTCAGCCCTGAGTTCAGACACTCAGCTCTGTCTTCCCAAAAAGGAGATTTTATTTACTTTTTAGAATTAAGTGCTTATTTTCCTCTTTAGAGTCCTGTCACTTCGGTGTGACCAATACTTCTTTGTTTAAAAAAACAGAGTTGGGCTGGGGATTTAGCTCAGTGGTTCCGGCGCCTGCCTTGCAAGCACAAGGTCCTGAGTTCAATCCCTGGTCCCCCCCCCCCAAAAAAAAAAACCCTGAATATAAAAAAAACAGTGTTTCTTGAAAACAACTCATTTCAATAGGGAGTTTTCAGTGGTGAAAGTCAGTGATAATTTGGTGACACTTGAGTGAGTGGTGGCTGTGACTTGAATCTCAGCACAACCACAGTGTCCCCACTCCTGTGTGCCTGTCCCCAGTGCCATGACTCGAGACGGGCAGTTCAGGGAGGAGATGGGCTACGACCGGATGCCGACCCTGGAGCGGGGTCGGCAGGACATCGGGCAGCAGGATCTAGGCAACTTCAGCGCAGACGCAAAGCCCAAGGACCTCCAGCTGTCGAAGAGGCTGCCCCCGTGCCTCAGCTACAAGACACGGGTCTTCTCCGTGCTGATGGGGGTGAGTGCTTGCCACCTGCCCTGGGCATCATCCCTCCTGGGTGGGATGGGCAGGAGCAGGTGGGAGAGCCTTGTGGATGCAGGCACATTTATTTCGTCTGTGTCTTCTGAGTTATAGCTCTCAATCAACATCTTTCCTATAGGCCTGCATGGTGGCTCTGCCACCCTAGGAAGGACAGTCAAGGGGCTACACTGATCCTGCAGGGTCAGCACTGGGCCAGGGTGGCCACTACAATCCTTGACTCCCATGGGTACTAGGGGCCTCCTGGGGCATGCTCTGAAAGGGTGTGTTAGGTTGGTTACGCTCCCTCAAGTGTCCCCCTGGCTTTCCCTTGCCATTTGCAGAGCTGCCTCCTGGTGACCTCGGGCTTCTCACTGTACCTGGGTAACGTGTTCCCCTCCGAGATGGACTACCTGCGGTGCGCTGCTGCCTCTGTAAGCACTGCCCCTCAGCCACATCCCAGACCCAGGTTCCCTGTCATGTGCTTGATTTCCTGTGCTCTGGGATTTTTGGGTTTCTGTCATTTGTTCCTCATTCAGAAATCTCTCCTGTGACTTTAGTTTCAAATAGTGTTTAACTGCACCATCACCAGTGAGGCAGATCTGCACTTTGCTTTGCAGAAGCCCGTACAGCTATGGTACTTTGGTTTCTAATGTGCAGCTGCCTCCTGCTGCGACTGAGCAAACTGGCAGGCTCTGCCCTCATGGACCTTCTGTCAGCCCTCGGAACAAAGCTCCAGGAAGGATGTAGCCCCTCCCTGCCACCCTCCGGAACCATCCCCTGCCTGTGTCCATGCCACAGGGCAGCCCTCGTTGGTCACAGTGACCTCTGACCTCGGGCCTAGGCAGCCCCTCACCAGGGGCCCTGCTCTGACCCAGCAGCCGTCCATCATCCTGGCCCCAGCTTTGCACCCTCCATCTCTAGCTCAGCCCCAGCCTGTCTTCTGCCACCCTGTCCAGAGCTTTGTGCACATGCCTCCAGGGGTCTCTGCCCTCTGTCCCTTCAGGGCCTGGCATTCCTTTGCCCGCAGGGGTGTCATCAGTATGGCCCTCGTCCCTCACCTCCCACTCCCAGCCCTCCCTCTGCTGGCCCTTGATCCAGCTCAGGGGTCACAGTGGAGTCAAGAGTGTAGCCTAGGCAGGGGCCCAAGGTTGTGGGTCTCTAGGCTTGAGGGGACACCACTTCCTCCTCCTCCTCTTCTTTCTTTCCACACCACTCTTCAGCAGACACATCTCTGGTTCTGTGCAGTCAGTCACAGCACATTCTGAGCTGGACATGGTGGCACTCACAATTTAGAGAGACCCTGTCTCAAAATAAAAAATAAAAAAGGGCTGGGGATGTGGCTTAATGTGAGGCCCTGGGTTCAATCCCCAGTTCCTCCCCACCATAATCAGTCACTCAGTCAATTCACGCTCGGATTTTCAAGCGTATCCAGCTAGAAGACTTTATTGAGAATAAGTTATTTTGAGGTGCTTGGGGACTGCTGATGTCAAGCACGACCCTTGCATCAAGCGGCTGGCAACACTTGCTTGTCAACATGACTCCGATGATTCCGGAAGCTTGAATGTTATAGTACAACATTATTAGATAAACATTTCATGGGAATGGAGCAAGCAATTGCCTGGCAAGTGCTCTGTCACCGAGCTGTGCCCGGCCCCACAGTGCAATGTTTTGGGTTGTCCCTGGGACTGGCACCACACTGGGAACAGCGGCTCACTGGGCTCTACTTCCTCCTCAGTGTCTCCCCTCAGCAATTGTGACCTTTGCTGTTTCCAGGAGCAACATCAATGCGGTGAGTTCGGTCTTCCTGCAGCCTCTGCAGACCTGGAGGAAGCCCAGCATGGGGCAGGGAGGTGGGTGGCCCTCCAGGCTGGCAGGTCCTGGCCAGGGTTCCCAGGGTTCCCCCCAGTGGCAGGGCTTCCTGCCCCTCCTCCAGCAAGGCAGCCCCACCCCCAGGTCCTGCGGTCAGTTTTAGGATTATCAGTGACCTGGAATTCAGATGTTGTCTTTCCTCCTTTAGCTATACAAAGAAGGAAACTCCTCCCTTCTTGCCTTTCAGATTCCCAACTTTCAGATATTATTTGTTTCCACGTTTGCCATCACCACTACTTGCTTGATCTGGTTTGGATGCAAACTTGTTCTGAACCCATCGGCAATAAACGTGAGTCACTGAGCTGGCATGGGTGGCACACAGCTTTCCTGTTCCATCGGGACTCTGTGCTTGTGCAGTGACACAGTGTGCTGCAGTGACATCTGGGGGTGGCCGGCTAATGTGCTGGCTAATGTGGAAATGGGTAGTAAATCTTTATTAAAATTGTTGAGCTTGGGCAGGATTTAGGATTTTGCTTATGTTCCTACAGAAAAGAATTGTCTCTATTAAATGAACTCTATTCATTAATTCCAGTGGGCAGATTTGTTGATAAACAATACTTTAACATCTCTCCTTTTACAGCTTTTAAAAATTAACAGTAACAGGGCTGAGGGCATGGCTCAGTAGTAGAGTACTGGCATATGCAAGGCCCTGGCTCAAACTCTAGGACAGAAGAGAAAGAAAGAAAGGAAGGAAGGAAGGAAGGAAGGAAACAAAGTCCATGTTTTGTCAAATCTGTGGTGCTACTAATTGTAAGAAAGGCATTGTATGTGCTACTACAAAAAGTGGGAAGACATAGTCTTCAAAGTTTTCCTGAAGAGAGAAATCTCATAAAAAAACAAGACATCAGGCTGGGGATTTATCTCAGTGGTTTCGCTGCCTGCTGCACAAGCGCAGGGACCCAAGTTTGATCCCCGGTACCAAAAACCAAAAAAACCCCCAAACCCTGAGACATCCCCACCAGTCTTGCAAGGCAAGAGAAAGGAAGGAAGTTTGAGGGTTTGGAAGGAACACTCAGCCTGCTGAGCAGAGAGAGGTGGCGCCTGCTTACCTGACACGGCAATGATTGAGACCCGGGGCAAAGTTTCTGGGTGTGAAAATCAGCGTCAAACAATTGTACAAACAAAAATTTGAAAATGTCCTAAATACAGATACTGTTTTATAGAATTAGGCATGTATGAGTTCAGTTCCTGGGAAAACAGCTAACAAGAGACCTGCCAGGCTCCAGACTGTTTGGTGACACTGCTCTCTTAAAGATATCCTGGACGGAGGGGGGCAAGGCAGGCCGACAACTGTGTCACAAGGGAGAGGGTCCGAGCAGACAGCCCTGCAGTTGGGGCCCCTTGAAGAACAGATTGGAGACACATTCCCCTACAACCAAGATTACTAGAAAGCCATCTCCAAAATAGGGTAGGCTTGGTGCAGGGCAGGGGAGCTGTCCCTCATGGGGTCTGCCTGGAGCTGCCACACATGTGTGGACCACAGTTGGTGTCCCAGGACATAGCGAGGGCCTCTGCTTCCCATCTGCCATGGAGAACCATGAGTAGTAAAGGCACAACTAGGAGAAATCATCTTCCCCACAGACACAGGAGCACACGGTGAGGGAGAGAGGAATAGAGGGAGAAGTGGCCCAGGGCATGTGGCACATCCTGTGGTCCCTTTAGGGAGGTGGATGCTCAGGAGGAGGAAGCCAGGTAACAAGCTAAAGCTGGGGTGACACTTGCTGGGCCATGGCAGAGGAGGGCACCAGGCTGCCCATTGCTGGCCCTGTGGGCTCAGCTCATGTCTAGGGCAACTCTGACACCCACCACCAGCCCTTCAGAGAACATTAAGGATTTGTAGGTACATTCTGAAGCGTGTGGCACAGACACTGTGCTACCCACAGATACACAGCTGGAGATGTTGCTCATATACCTCTATGAGGAAACGTGCACCAAAAGATCAGAACAGCAGCACCTGTCAGCAAAAACCCAAGCATAAACCCACATCCATTACCTGGAGCCTGAGTGCACAGATGGGAGACAGAACACAGGACCAAACTGTGAGGGATGCGTAAGTCCACATCTGCCTGGCCTGCGCTCAGTGTGACCCGTGCTCTGGCAGTCCCAGCTTCCCCAGAGCTCACACCTGCAGAGTCTCTGCCATAACCAGGCCCAAGCATCAGCATCCACTGGTAGCCAGGCCCCAGGTGGTCCTGACCACACTGAGCTCTGAGGGTCACTGAGCAGTGGCCACCACAGGCAGGTAGGGACCCCCCAGAATGTGGTGTTTGCACCACTCAAACTGAGAGACAGTCTGGTTGGAGGACACAGGTGTAGGTGGTAGAATAGGACATTCGAAAACATGGCTCTGTGCAGGGCAGGCCAGAGGCCAGGCACACCACTCTGTGTGCCACACTGCTGTCCCATCAGCCTGTCACCAGGTCCCCTTAGGTGTGTGCTCCTGGCACCTGGCTGAAAAGTCCACCTGTTCTTGCCTCCCCCTTCATCTCGTCTTGGGTGTGTGGAGCCTGTCCCTCTCTGGGATCCCAACTGCAGCAGGCACCTGTGTCCCACTGGTAGGTGGCACACAGACCCGACACCCCATACCAGCCATACTAGGGTTTCTTTGCAGCCCTAGATACCAGGAGTGCAGTCTCTGGTCATAGTTGTGCCTGTGTCCATTCACCCAGAGCATGGCTCTGCTTGCCGCCTTACCCCAGCCCGAGGTCCTTGTCCCCAGCTTCTCCCACCTTGGTGTGTCATTGACTCCCGCTGTTCCTTCCCCATGAGAGGGTAGCAGAGCCCGTGACTTGTTTCCTCCATGCCTTCTCAGCATGATGCTTCCCTCACCTGCCTGTGGATGCTCTGGGCTTCGTTCCAGCTCAGTTTGAAAGCCAGGTCATCTTCTCTTTTAGCTGTTAGCAGCAAGGCTTGCTTCTAGATGGTCCATTACATTCCTGTGTGGGATGACTCCACTGGGGTTCTCAGCCTGTCCCCACATGACGCTGCACTTGCTATTGTAATAGCTTCGTGGCATGCTCCCACATCCCAGGAAAATGCCTTCCTCACTTTGCATTTCATTTCAAACTTGATCCTCTTATTCAAAATATGTTTTAGGGCAAGTTTACGGAGTTCCTGAACAAATGCAGCTGGAGTTTTGTCATGATTATTTTAAGTCTGTAAGATAATTTTGTGGGAATTGATATCCTTATCACGTTCCCTCATCCCGTCCACACACATAGACTCTGTTTATTCATGTCAGATGGGAAGTTGCAGGCAAGACTGGAGTGTTTAGCTGGCTCTGCCCACTTTGGGGTGGGCTGGGCAGGGGTTGATCCTCCTCTGGCCACACCTCCTCAACAGCAGCCAGTCTGTCCACTGAGGCTCCTCAGTGGCGCTCCCTGAGCCCCCTCAGGCCCCAGGGAAGTGGCACCTGCTGTCTCTGACCTTGGCAGGCACCCTAACACCCTGGCCCACTGTAGGGAATAGGGGAAGGGGATGTTACTAGAACCTCTGCAGTGAGTCCTGGTCTCCTGCGAGCCACAGCAGCACACAGCGAATGACAGGAAAGGTAGAAAATTGAGACTGAGAAGAAGCTGAGCTTTGGGTCTGATCAGTGCTGCTCTGGGCAGCAAAGACGCGAGCCCCCAGCTTACTGCACCTTTTATTCAGTACCTCAGGAGAAACATATAACAAATGACTTGCCCAGAGTTCAGTACATCCTGCATAAATAAGATGTAACAATCCAAGAACAAGGAGGAACTGAGTAGATGTTTGTTCCTCCCAGGATGTCTTCAGCTGGTGTAATCTTGTCCTGGAGCATCACAGCATCACTGGATCACTGAGGTCTCAGTTGTGACCGGAGGCCAAAATGCAATTACGTCTTGGAATTCCATAGCTGGGCTGTAGGCAGGAGAACTAAGCTAACCAAATGATCTTCCCCTAAAATTATGTAGCATTGCTCCCGACAGCCCACTCTTTCCCAAATCACTCTACCTAAATCTCCTCCAGTTACTCCTTTGAGTGTTCTATGTCTTGTCAGACCCTGGATGGAACAGATAGTGGAGTTATTTTTAAATACTATTCACTTATTACTGATCTATGATATTACTACGTTGTGAGCAGAATATATACTGTAGAGTGCAATAATTCTTTGGAATTCAGGGGGTTTTTTGGTATCGGGAATTGAACTCAGGACCTTGCGCTTGCCAGCCAGGTGCAGCACTGCTAAGCTATACCCTTGGCCCCTCGGGGCTGATTTGTAGCCCTAAGAGATGGTCAGTTCTGTTAGTGTGCCACACCTGCCATGCGAGAGTGAGAGTCTCTTTTATTTTACATGGAGAGTTATATACATAGGGCCAGGGATTTAGCTCAGTGGTTCTGCCATCTGCCTCGCAAGCTTAAGGACCCTAGTTCAATCCCTGGTACCAAAAAAAAAAAAAAATTAGGGAGAGTTATGTAGAAAAACTTATTTGTATTTGTTTTAAAATGTGGGCTCATTACTATCCACTCTGGTGGGCACAGCAGACCAGAAGACGCCTCCACGGGACAGACAAGTGACTGGTCACAGATCTTAAGGAAGGGGTGCCCCATGCTGCACGGGGCACATAGGGAAGGACAGGGAGAGGGAGGAGGAGTGATGTGAGCAGGCAGCTCCACTGTGGCTCCCTGGGAAGAAGCGGGGCAGGTCAGGGGCTCAGCCTTGGCCGGTTTGGAGAACCTCAGCCGGTGTGGCCATGGGTGTCCCTGGTCACTTGTCTGGTCCCAGCCCCAGAGTGGCTGGGCAGGTGGACCCTGGCCCAGGGTGCTGGAGCTGAAGGGGTGCGGGCTGTGAGCGGGTGGTTCGCATATTGTGTCACTGATGGCTCTGGGAAGTAGGCAGCCCTGGAGGGGCAGCTTCCCAGGGTCTGCACAGCTCTAGCGTCAAAGACTCAGAAATGGAGAAAATATGAGACATGGCTAATGTAGTATTTTCTGATTTTAAGAGCTCTTATGTTTTTATCTTTTTTGATCTATCAGTTTCTGAGAAAAATATGTTAAATTCTTTACCTATAACTGTTGGTTTATCTATTTCTTTTTGCAGTTCTGTTAGTTATTACTTTATGTGTGTGTGTTTGTGTGTGTGATGGGGGATTGAACCCAGGACTTTGGACATACCAGGCAAGTGTTCTACCACTTAGCTACATCCCAAGGCTTTTTTATTTTATTTTGAGACAGGGTCTCCCTGATTTGCCCAGGCTGGCCTTGAATCTGCAATCCTCCTGCCTCAGCTTCCTGAGTACCTGGGATTACATGCATGTGCCATGGCACCCAGCTTTATGTATTTTGAGGCTCTATTGTTAGTTGAATATGTTTCTACATTCTTTCTTTTAGAATTTTATTTTTTAAATTATCAGTTAGATTGACTTATGTATTATTATTTTTTTACTTATGTATTATTTATTTATTTGTGGTGCTTGGGATCAAGCCCAGGGTCTTGTGTGTATAGGCAAGCTCTCCATGGCCAAACTACAGCCCCGTGTGGCTGTGTGAGTGTGAGCAAGTGTGCAGATTCCTGCGCTTGCCCACACATCAGGAGCCTGAATAGTGCTGTCACCCTCCAAAGCCCTGTGTGTGCAGAGCTGCAGCTGCTGTGAACCTGTGCTCAGGCTTTTGTCTGACCGAGGAAGGTCAGTGGGCAGGCAGATGCAGGCAGGGGCTGAGTGCGCCCACAAACGGCCCTCTTCTCCCCTCTGAGTGAGAGGGTGCAAAGCCCAGGAACCCCACAGCCCACATGTGGCCCGGCCTGTGTTCAGTGAGGAGCCTGGTAGCTTGGAGGGGTGGGGCTTCCAGGGGAGATGCTGAGCCCTCGCTCCCCACTCCCTGAGCAGATAAACTTCAACCTCATCCTGCTGCTCCTGTTGGAGCTCCTCATGGCCGCCAATGTCATCATCTCAGCACGCTCGAGCGAGGAGCCCTGCGGGAAGAAGAAGGTAGGTGGTTTGAGGGGGGCTAGCATGGGTGGGGCCGGTGGCCGTGGGGAGGAGGCCGTCCTGCCTCTCCATGTCTGGCCACGCATCGCAGGGAGAGACCGAATCCGCTAAAACTGTCTGTGAACCACAGCGTGATCTCAGTGCTGGCTGGCCTGGCCCTTCCCTCATGTGGCAGCCAGGCACTGCCACCAAGCAGAAGTCCCAGTTCCGATGCTGGTTCAACATGACTTTGTATCTCTCCAGGGCTCCGTCTCCGACAGCACCCATATTTTGGATGAAGTGACATTTCCTGCTCGGGTCCTAAAGTCCTACTCTGTGAGAAAAACTTCCCTTTTCTTTCTTTCTTTTTTTTTTTTGGTACCAGGGATCAAACTTGGGTCCTTCTGCTTGCGGGGCAGGCAGCAGAACCACTGAGCCAGCACCCCCTTTTCTTATTTTCTTATTTATCTTATCAGGAGGGTGCGTGTGTGTGTGTGTGTGTGTGTGTATGTGTGTGTGTGTGTGTGTGTGTGTGGCTGGACTAAGTCCTTGCATGTATTAAGATGACCAGGATGGAATAGACCACAGGTGTAAGGCCCCAGCCTTGCCTGCAGAAGAAATTTCAGCCCATTTGGTGCTGTTGACAAGACACCCTGCCTTAAAAGATGCCGGTGCGTTGGAGTTTGCAGGGTTCTCAGAGTTTGATAAGACATCTATCTCCAATACAGACATGGCCAGCCGGCCTGTCCAGAGGACATGCAGAGAGTGTTCTGGCTGCTTCCTCCTGTCATTGTCTCTGTTTTGAAAGCCCTTTTGTTGTTTTCTTCTTGGTTTTGGTTTACTTGTGCCATTAGTAAAGATGTGTTTAAAACCTCCCAATCTGAGTGTGGCATTATTGATTTTTCTTTGGAATTCTGCTGCTCTTTGACATAGATTTTGGAGACTGTGTTTAGAGTTTCAAACAAGCTTAGAATTGCTCCCTGGTGAATTTTATTTTTGTCATCATTGTGTAGGGGTCCTCTATCTTTAATCTTTAATAATGTTTTTAGTATAAAATCTCTATTGATTAAAATCCATTGATTGTCTTTTCATTAATATTTGTCTGATGTATCTTTTTCTTTCTGATGTATGACTTTTCTGGTCCTTAATAAATTTTGGTGTGTTTCTTACAAGCAGTGGAGAGATTTTGTTTCATTTTTTTGGTCAAATTTGTCATTCTCTTCTTTTTTTTCTCTTGGTACTGGGAATCGAATTCAGGACCTTGGGCTTGCAAGGCAGATGCAGTGCCACTGAGCTAAATTCCTGGCCCTGTCATTCTCTTCTTAGCCTTTTGAATTTAGCCATTGGAGAGTGGACGTGGACACATTTATGTCCATTTTCACTATCTCTTTTTGTTTCCTGCTTTTCTTGGTTTCTTTTCCATGCCTTTTTCTCCGTCCCTGGCTTCTTCTGGACTGGTGGAGGCATCTCCCTTCCTTCTGCCTCCGGGTTTGGGTGGGAAGTCACCCCTTGTGGCTGCTAGAGTTCTCCTGCATGCTTTCATGTGGGGCATCTCCCCTGGCATCTCCCCTGGCTCCCATTCACCTGCCCCTTGCTTCTGTTGTCCTGCTCATCATGGCCGGCACACCTGCTCCCATCTGCCACCACGGCTTTATCCTGTCATCTTCCCTCTGTCTCACTTTCTTCTTCTACTTGATGCATTCCCTTTAGCTGTTTCATGGTTTTGGTAGGCTTTTTCATTTTTCATTCTCTTCCATCATTCTTGAGAGGAAGTTTTGCCCAGCATTCTAGGCCAGCAATTTCCCCTGACAGTTCCACTGTCTGCTGTGGCCCCATTGCCTACCTTTGCTGTGAGCTCCCTGCTTCCAGAGGTTTCTATCCATGTCAGGATTGCTGTCATGTGGGGGCTCTGTTTTCCTTCACCTCTGTGGGTCTTGTGGCTTTGAATGCAGGGAGGCCTAGTGGCTGGTCTGTCCCCAGCTGGAGACTCTGCAATCCCAAGGTGAGGCTGGCACTGGGCTCTGCAGGGAGCCCAGTATAGGTCAGAGTGGCTCCAGCCACTGTCCAAGGGTTTTTCCCCTCAGACTGGCCCAACCCCACCTGAGAGTGTGGCACCTGCCGAGCTGCAGCTGGCCCTGGGAGATCCATGTTTGCAAGCTGTGTTCTGGGCATCTGGGCATACCTGCCTATCAGGGCCGGCACACACCCTCAGTACAGTGGCCCCAGCAAGGTGACACTGTCCCATTGTCCCCTGCAGGTAGTCGAGGTGATTGCTGGCATCTCTGCCGTCCTTGGTGTGGTCATCGCTCTGAACGTGGATGACGCGGTCTCAGGCCCACACCTCTCAGTGACCTTCTTTTGGATCTTGGTGGCTGTGAGTACTTCCCCTCCTCGCATCTGACAGGTGTGGCTGGCTGGCAGGCTTGTTTGGGACCACTGAGTGAGGAAGGCACCCTGAGAGGGACCCTCTGGCCCCCATCCTGTCCAGCATGAGGAGTCAGTGTACAATTTTATACTAACTGCGGTTATTGTTCCATTATTTTTATTATTATTTTGGAAGAAAACCAGATATTTTTATTATTCTGTACACTTTTACAGCACATGTTTTATACAATGGAATGTATTACTATTATGAAATTAAATGATCCTATGGCAAACACTGAGGACAGTGCCAACCCCAGGATGTGCCTCACTTGGTCCTGCTGTCCTGTCACATGGTCCTGCTGTCTCATCAGTCACTGTGTCCTTCTGAGCTCACCTGCAACCTCGTGTTGTCCAGTGTGTGAGAAGCGCATCCAGTTTGCTCCACTCAGCTGCAGCTGCAGCCAGGTCTGGGCTCCTGATACCCTTCAGAGCAGCAGTCTGGAGCGCCTCCTCCACCTGCCATGCATCACACTTGAGACTGCTGTCTGTTTGCGCCTGGTCCCTACAAATGTGCCACCAAGTGGCCACTTTGCACCTGCTATCCCACTGGCTTGTCCCACACTGCTGTCTGCTGCATGAATTTTTAGTTTGGGGGCCAGTGCTCACCATCATACAGAAATGAGGAGGACGCAGTGGCATCATCTGTGTTCCCCAGGCTCCCCCAAGTAAGTGAGGCTCAGAGGCATGGGCCTTGGGGGCTGTGCTGACTTGGTGACCTGGGACCTGGGAACTCTGGGACAGGTGCCGGGCTGAGCGGGGTGGAACCTCTCACCTGGGCAGCTGTGAAGCCTGAGTTCATGCCTAGACTCTGTGGTTTGAAGGTGGGGGCTGTAGGGTTATATCTGGGGCTCACTGAGGACAGAGGCCACATTCACGATGGAAGATACTGTCTTCATCCTTTCCCAGCCCCATGGTCAAGCCCGCTGGCATGACCTCGCCAAGACCCTGCTTATCAGAGAGTGTGCTGGGCCTCACCTCTCCTGCCCTGTCCCCAACCACCCAAGCGCCCCACTCAGCCCCCTTCCTCCTCCAGGGGGCATGTAGCTGGGAGGGATAGGGACGAGGTGGTGAGGGTTTCCAGCTGGGGTCCCTGTGGTGCGGTGAGAGGGCAGGACAGCGACCTCCAGCTCACTTTGGTAGAAGTCAATTTTGGGGCACCATGGCTGCCCTGGCGTGGGCATGTTCTCCCCCTGTGAGTAGGGTGGGAACTTGAGAGCTGGGGACAAGGCAGATCAGGGCTCACCAGGCCCTGCTGGGCATTTGCAGCCCAGGGTTGAAGGCCTGGGGACAGCCGGAGGGCACATCCAGCAGTCAGCCGCCTCTCACTGTCCTCACTGTGCCTGCCCGTGTGCTGCGGAGTCAGCTCCTTCAAGTGAACGAAGGATTTCTGGGTTGCAGAGGGGAGAGGTGTTACCCTGGGCTGTGGTCCAGGTCAGCACCCTGGGGAGAGGGTGCCCGAGACTTACTGCCAAGAGGGGCTGCCTCACCAGGGAAGTGTCTGTGCCCAGGGGCCACATTCTTTAGAAATGACCAGGCCATGAGGGTGCCGGAGGGGCACATTACCGGGGACAGAGACTGACCACAGGGTGCGGAGCACTGTTACACGTTAGGTCCTGGGTCAGGGGAGATTGTTCTAGAAAAGATGCTTTGGGACAACTGGGGATTTGAATACAGGCTTGCTGGACCACAGTGCTGAACCCATGTCTACCAGGTGTGGCAGCATGAAGTGTGTGGGTATGGCCCACGTGTGGCCACAGTTGGGTGACCGAGCATCAGGTAGAGCACAGAGCGCACAGATGTGCTGATGTCCGTGAGGAGCCTCTGGGGCTCCGAGGGTCACTGGCCTGCTCTTGCAGTTTTTCCACAGGCCTAAAGCCTTAGACAAACACTTGAGGAACCTGGAGCCCGCAGAGCCTGCGCAAGAGCCCTGCTTCCCACTGCTCTCCTAGACCAGCAGGGCCACCTGTCCTGCCCCGGGGATGGAGAGGGTATCATGTCCGGGTGGAAACCACAAACCTGGACCCTTGACATGCTCCAAAGTCCTTCCTTTTCATTCTTCCCTAGTGTTTTCCGAGTGCCATCGCCAGTCATGTGACAGCAGAGCATCCTAGCAGGTGTCTGGTAGGTGAGGGTTTGTCCCTTCCATGGTGCCAAGGGCGAAGCTCCAGTTGCATCGGTAGTTGCAGGGGCTGCAGGCAGTGCCAGCCAGAGTGGCCAATGAGATGGGTGGGCTGAGGCTGGCACCTGCTGCCCCACAAAGGACAGGCCACTGTTCCCAGGGCCCCTGCTTTGGTGCCCAGTCTGTGCAAACAGCAGAGGGAGCACTTGGGTATGTGTGTGTGTGTGTGTGTGTGTGTGTGTGTGTGTGAGAAAGAAGACATTCCCAACACTAAGGAGGGAGGGAGGATGAGTCCAGTACTCTTGCTACTTCCTGCCGCTTGTGGGGCCAGTCCTGTTGTGAGGACCATGGCTGACTTGGGGGCCAATGCTCTACCAGGGGAGTGTACACACCCAGTGCCAGGGCTTTGTGGCCCCTGCTTCTGAGACAATGAAGGCATCACCCTAGGACTTGGAGAGGTTACAAGAACAGATTCAGAAGAGCAGAAAAGGTGAGTGGTACCCAGGAGCCATTTTTACACCAGGCTGGAGAACTGTATGTGAACCCTAAAGACCCTAGTGATGCACATGGCGCGCTCTGAGTTGGTGGGCAGAGGGCTGAGCAGGAGCCACGCACCCACCCCAGCGACCATCATTCACCTTCCCTCCGTGGATCTTTCTTCCGACCAGGTGGAGGTGTTGCTTGCCCTCAGCAGCCTCACATCCCCATTGCTGTTTACGGCCTCTGGTTACCTGTCGGTCAGTGTGATGACAGTGGTGGAGACTTTCAAAGGCTACCCCCCAGCCATCAGAGTACGTACTCACACACGGGGCTCTGAAATCCTCTACAATAGCACTGCTGGCTGCGGGCTTGAGGCTAAGGAGAGTCTTTGGGCAGGTGGCTTATGTCCTGACAGTGGCTAGGACAGATGGGCACTGACCTGGCCATGTGACTTTGCAGAGTTGGGTGCGGGTAGCATAGGTTTACTGTGCCATGAGGTCGGATCTGATTTGCTTTTCCTGTGGACAAAAGCATGGCTGTCCCAGTCCTTGACTCGTCTGTTCTGTCCCTGCTGCCAGCAGCAGCGTCCTGGATGGTTTTTGCCCAGGCTGCTTCTGTGTTTCTAGCTCTGGGTCTGCTCAGTCTTAGCACAGCCCTGTAAGAGGCCACCGCCTCCTTCACCTTCTCCATGCCTTGAGCATCCACACACATTTCAGAGCACTCGTGGTTTTATGAGACACTGCATTGGGATTTCAGTCAGAATTGCATGGTGTTTATAGATCCATTTGAGGAGACCTGAGAGTATGGTGAGTTTTACACCTTCTCATAGGAAGTTTCTCCAAAGGAGATTCTTGGACCTTTCAGTAACATCTCAAGGTATCACCCCTAAGCTCAGGCATATGCAGCTGGACTTTCTTCTAGTATAAATGGTCTTTTCCCCATAAGTTTATGAGGAATCTCATACATTGAAAGGACAGCATAGTGAAGTGGTTTGCATTTTTTTTTTTTTTTTTTTTTGCAGTACTGAAATGTCATAGTCACTTTCTCATCTCTGGGACATAATACCCAACATTCACAGTTTAAAGGACAAGAAGTTTACTTTGGCTCACAGTTTAGTTCACAGTTGACCAGCTCCAAGGCACAAATAGTATGGTGGAAGGGTATAGCGGAAAAAGCTGCTCACATCATGGAGGCCAGGAAGCAGAGAGAGTGAAGGGTGGAGCCAGGGAGGGAAACACACTCTTAGGCCACGCCCCCAGCAGCCTGCCTCCAACCAGGCCCCACCTCCTGGCAGCATATTCAGTATTGTGCTCCCATGATCCACTGTCCAAACACATGAGGCTTTGGGGGCATTTTTTTTTATCTAAACCATAGCATGCAGACTGAACCCAGGGCCTTTCTACTGAGCTACATCCCAACCCTTTTAAATTTTTTTTAAACTGTATGTCCATTTATTGGTACATTTTAGGTATACAATATAATGACATTCATCATTGGAAATTTGCACCTTTACATACTCTCTTGGTTCTTATTTTTTCCCCCTTCTCCTGCCCTCCCTTCAACCCCTCCCTTTTTAAATTTTAAATTTTTATTTTAAGACAGAGTCTTGCTAAGTTGCTCAGTTCCCCAGACTGGGTTTTCTCTGTGTGCTGAGCATCCACACACATTTTAGAGCAGTTGTGGTTTTATGAAACACTCCATTGAATTTCGATCAGTATTGTATGGAGTTTATAGATCCATTTAAGGAGACTTGAAAGTGTTGTGACTTTGTACCTTACCATATGAAGCATCTCCAAAGGGACTTCTTGTGATCTCTTCTTGTGATCTTCCTGTCTCAGCCTCCCTGGGTGCTGGGACTACAGATGTGCATCACCACACCTGGCCCCAGTGGTTCACCCAATGTGCACTATCTGAAAGTGAGTGTCAGTCCTTGATAACTTGACCATTCCCCTGAACCTAGATGAAGGATTCTTTTGATACAGTCATGGCAGAAACAAGACCGGGACGAATCCTGTAAGCTTGCATCCCATCCAGGCAGAGCTGTGTTGGGGTGGGGGCTTCGCTGCATTGTGGCTTTGGCTGAAAGGAGCCAGCAACTGATTCACGGAGGGACTGAGCTGCTGCTCAGAGAGCACAGAGGACAGCAGGGTCTATGGAGTCGCTGGGTGGGCTAAAGTCTGTGATTCTCGTGGGCCAGGGCCACGGTTCCAAAAGATCTTTCTTCTGGCCGGCCTCGGTCATCTCACCTGGAGGCTGCCGAGTCCTTCTGTGTCTGGTGCCATCGTCCCACACAAACATCCTGACCTTTGGGTCCAGGCCCTGTGATAGGGCAGAGGGACGTCAGGGGCTTGGGTGTTAGTGGCTTCTGAAGCAGCACAAGGCTGGGGCAGAAAAGAGGGAGAAAGACTGAAAATGAAAACACATCCCGTGTTCAGTGAGTGACTTGGACAGAGTATTTCCACATCCACTTGTCCTGAGTCTTGGACAGAACATTTCCCACTGGTCAATGTGCCTGTGTCTATGTGCAGAGCTGAGTAGACTCTGACACAAGGGTTGTGACAGCAGAGATGACAGGCACGGTGTGAAAACAGAGCTGCCAAGATTTTACCCCATTCCTGTTGCCCCCAGACACCTGCAGGCCTGAGGGAAGAGTCCGTGTTGCAGCAAGTGCAGCCTTCAGGGCCCCAGAAGTAGCCAGGCACTGTGGTCACGCTCTGTAGGTCGGAGGTGTCACCACAGCAAAGCCAGGGGACCAGCAGGGCACTGCCTGGCTGTGCAGCTCTGTAGGGAGGGATCTGTAAGCTGACCGGGAGCAAGTGAGGCTGGAGGGCCTGTTTGGTTTTTTTCTTTGCAACAGTTTCACACTTCATGCACATCTTTCACTTCTGTGGTCTTGTAGGGGCCGTGTGATGGGTCTATTGAAATGTGCCATGCCACAAAGGGTAACTGATTACTGTGCCCAGGGCCTTATTTTGTCATCCCAGCCTTCTGTCCCACCATGGTGATCACTAACTGTCTCGCATCTTTCCACACTTTGGCATTTCTAAAAGTCAGACAGTCCCCTATACGTCACAATGCCACTATCACAGCTAAGATGGTCAGTATTTATCACATGATTGTTCAGCCCCTGTGTGGGACTCTTGCCCTGGGTGTCAGGTCACTTTGGGCTCCTCCGTTCAGGCCCTCCTTCCCTCTCAGGATTCTGTCTGGGCAGTGGCCCTAGCTCTGGACCCATTTCCTAGGCGCCTCCACAGAGCATAAGCCTCTCGTGGTACCCTCTCCCCCGGGCTGATGTTGGCGGCTGGTCCTTCCCAAACCCCTTTCTCTCCTGGGAGTGAGGGGAATCCGGGGCTGGGTCTCTCCTTCCTTTCCACTGCTACAGAGGTGAGCAGTGTGGCAGATGCTTTCCTTTTCTGTGGAGCAATGCTGAGGACTCACTGGGTTTTCGATGTTTATAGTGTTGTAACCGTCCTGAACTTGACCAGCTGTGGCCAGTTCCCGTGCTCTTGGGAACATCAGCCTTTCCTGGCAGACATGGAACCTGACCTAGCACACACTCTCTGTCCCAGGTCCCCATCCCTTGAGTGGAGGACAGAGCACAGATCTTGAGGCTGGGCTTGTGTGCTCAACCCTTCCTCAGGAGCACTGCTGCTGAGCCTTTCCATGGACAGGGCTGGCAAGAACACATGTTTTAAAGACTGTACGTTTGTATCATATTTCTAACTCCAATTTAAACATGCTAGGCCTTTTTTTTTTTTTAAAGGGAGAGGCTTCTTTTAAATTTGTATCTCTTTGCTCTTGGTCTAAACACTGTCTCCTATAGCATTCACTATCCTTACTATTCTGCTTATTTATTTTGTGATGCTGGGGAACCCAGGGCTGTGTGCATGGAAGCCAAGTTCTCTGTTACTGAGCTATGCTCCAGTCACTTACTACTTTCTTTCTTTCTTTTTTTTTTTTTTGGTACTGGGGATCGAACTCGGGTCCTTCTGCTTGCGAGGCAGGCGGCGGAAACACTGAGCTAAATCCCTGGCCCCGCTTACTACTTTCTTTTGTCTTACAATGCACATAAAATTGTTCTCAATTACAAGAGACCAGTGTCACTGCCTATAGCCAGCCAGCCCCCTACTGAGCAACCTAAAGTCTTCCTTTTGCTTTAACATTTACCCTAGGAGGGGCAGTCACGTGCTATGTGAAGCAGTCCCTTCCATGTGAGGCCATGCTGTTGATCTGAAACACAGTTAAGTTCAACAGCATCTGATTGGATTCAATTTCAAGGTTTGGTTCTTTCCCCCTTTTTAATAGTATTTTAAAATATTTAACACAATTTGCACGGTTCCAAAGCCAAAGCTGTGTGACAGGTACATTCAGAAGCCAGAGAGCCAGCCCTGTCCACCTGCCTCTCTCATAGGCAAATGTATCATCATTTGCCTCCCTTCCTTCCAGTGCAGGTAGCACATGATAATCATTATTCTGTGCAATTTATCCTGTTTGCTAGGTACCCAAGAGGACCAGAGCTCTTCCTGCCCTTCATTACTCCTGTGCAAACAGAACTCAGTGGGCCCGAGCTGTCCCTAGGATGGAAGCTGGGTTATATTTAATGTCTCCTACTGGGAATAACTTCTGGTGATCATTCTTGTAGGAGAACTCCATTTTGAATCTGAGCTATCTATTTCTGGGATAATTAGCTGGGAGAGGAACTGCAAGATCCAAGGGGAGATGCATCTATGACAATGCCACATCCCAGCTAGTTTTCCTCGCTCAGGGCCTGGAGGGGGCCTGGGGCACCTGCTGTTTGGCAGCCACTGCCCGGTGTGTTGAGCTGACTGCTGCACAGGAGAGAGGCACAGCTCCGCAGGACGGGCGGAGAGCACATTTGGCTTTCGAAGGGTGCCCCAATTTCCTGACCAGCAAACTGGGGACTGTGCTGACGTGAGGGTGACTGCCCTCTACATGCAAGGGAGGCACAGAGCCTCAGTCTGGCAGCTGCTCCTCGCTCTGCTCAGGATTCTCATGAGTGAGGGTTCCTTGTGTTTGTACGTTTACATGATCACTACTTTGCTGATGGCATCTGGACTGTAAGTCATTGTGTTTCCTGCTGAGCCATGATGGAGGGTGCAGTTTCTTCTGCACATGTGCACCCCAGCATGAGCCATGATGCTCTGTCCTTGGCTCTCCTGGTGGTTGTTGGGGTGGGGAGGCTGCCCTGTGTCCATAGGGCTCAGCACCATTATGCCTGTGTGCTAAACCAGGCCAACAGGAGTCGTAGCAGGACTGACAGAGCTGGGGTGGTTGCTGTCCAGGTTTCTGTAAATGGGAGGATACATTTGGATCACTGATTTGGTGCGGTGGACATGGCTACTCCGGGGAAGGCCTAGGGTGGCAGGAGTGTCTTTGGGGGCCACCAGGTCTGCCAGCTGCCTGGCTACTCACACGTTGCTCTGTTCACAGGCCTACGACGTGCTGCTGCTGCTGCTGCTGCTTGTGCTGCTCCTGCAGGGTGGCCTCAACACGGGCACTGCCGTGCTGTGTGTGAGCTTCAAGGTCAGCACCAGGCTGCAAGGTGCATCCTGGGAGGCCCCAGCCGCCCTGCAGGAGCACCCCACGGGGGAGGTGAGTGGCCATCTCAGGCCTCCAAGGATGTGAGGTGACCTCCATGCCACTCTGTGTTCATAAAATGCCCCAGAAAAATCTTGAAGTAAAAAATGAAATACGTTATTTTTAAAATAACGAGGCACATATATAAGCCTATTCTTGAGAAGTATTTTGGCCTTGGGATGCTCAGTTTCAGCTTGCAGGCACACACAGGCCATGTGGGGTCCCCAGAGGCCTAGGGCTTCCTCACTGGGCCTTCAGGAGAGGCTGTGCCTGCCCTAGGTGAGAGCCCTCTTGACTTGTGTCATAGCCAGCAAGGTGCAGAAGCAGGTGAGTGGGTTGCTGGGGGTGTCAGCTCGTCACCTCAGTCTCAGGGATCTGCTCCCACCTCGGAGTGAAGGGCTGCGGCATGCTAAGGGAGTGAGCAGAGGTCTTTCCAGAGGGCTTCCTTCCTTCTTTCCCTCGAAGACAAACTAACCCAGGAGGATGCTGGATGCCACCCTGACATGGCCCTGGTAAGGAGACACTCCCACAGGTGTGGCCTCGGCGACACTGTCCCTCCCTGTCTCCATCACAGGTGGCCAGAAGTCCCCGGAAGGAGTTTGACAAGGAGAAAGCCTGGAGAGCCGTCATGGTGCAGATGGCCCAGTGACTGCAGCATGGGAAGCTGAGTCACACTCGGTGCCTGCCGGGCTCTCGGCACGCTCAGCCTCACAGACTCTGTCCTGCCACCCCCGCTCTCTAACATGTCTTCCTCCTTCCACAAGGGCAGCCCAGATTGTGAGGGGCCTTGTTTCTTACCCCAGTTTAACTTTGAAATAGGTGAATGGCGACAGTTCTGTGGTGCATCAGGGAGAGAGTTCAGGGACTCCTGGCGGCCTCGCTGTGTGGGGCTCCTGGGGTTGGGGAGGCTCTGGTGCTGCCATCAGAGCAGGAGTCCAGGTGAATGGTGGACCTCGGCCTGGCTTCGTCTGCCCTCCCTGTGCTACTCACCCGGGCACCACTTGGCCCAGGCCTTTCCTTCTGGGAGGCCCTCACCAGCTCTTCTGCCGCATATGGTTTCCCAATGACGAGAGCAAGGTAGAGCCCTGGTACCCTCCACTAGGGCCGCCACTGCCTTCGGCACCTGAAATCTACACCCAGGGTCCTGCCCACTTTCCCTACGAACTGACACCAGTCCCTGCAAAAGGCCACCTCCCCCTGGCCCTGGCAGTGTCCCAGGGCGTCCTCACGTCCAGGTGGAGCTTTGCATGGCCGCTGGGGGTGGGGCTGAGTCTCAGCCTTTGTGACTGACAGCTTGGTGACCACACCAGTGGAGACGGAGCCTCTCCCTCCATGTTTGCCTGGCTCCCAAAGGACAAACTCTACCTGAGTTGGGGGGTACTTGGTGTCCCAGCACCTCCACCTCCTGACCCATCCTCCTGACTTACCCGTGTCCCGCTTGGGCCAGTGTCTCCTCATGTGAGGCTAGTGTTCCTGAGTCTTCAGCACTCGCACACCCCCACAGAGCCTGTCTGTCACCCCCACCGGCTGCAGGGACCGTTTGGGGTGTCATTAGCTGTGGAGTTGGTTGGATACCATCCCCCCATCCCTGGAGGTCACCTGGATCCTCCCAGTGATGCGGGCACCAGTCTTACCAAACCGAAAAACACTAACGTGTGCTCTCACCGAACTGGGCTGTGCTAGTCAGCTCCCCATGGCATGGTGCAAAGGCCTGGAGGTGAACTGTGTGGCCTGAGCCCCTGAGGACCAAAACCGGTAGACCTGGGACATGAAGGTGGGTGGAGCAGCCTGCCTAAGGGCTGAGAGGGTATCCCAGCCTTCCCACCTCGGAACTCGGGTAACCTGAGAAGCCAGGATGCAGGACCGCGGGCAGCCATCTTCTGGGGGACCAGAGAGGTCAATGTTCAGAGCCAGAACGAGGCAGTTGGAGCAGTAGTGCTGGCTTGCGGCTTCTCATTTTAGAGAATTAAAAAATACTCAGACATTAAAAAGGAGTTTAAAAAATTATGTCTTTCTATTTACGCTTTTGTTTGGGGTAGTTTGATCCTTGTGAATAATAAATACTGACATGGAAATGTGGCCGGCAGCCTGCTTAATGCTGGGTCTCAAGGGACCTGTTGCCCAGGTTCTGAAGAAAATGGAGCTGTTAAACAGAAGTGGGGGTGGAGGAGATGGTCACTCCTGGGTGTCCTTGATTCATGAGGAGCTGGGCCCAAGCAGTCCAGAGGCCTTGGAGGGTGAAGACCAGAAAGTTGGAAGACACCACCAGCTCAGGAGGAGCCATCGCGGGCATCCAGTGGGGGCAGCACCACCAAATGGAGAGCTCTAGGTTTTAGAAGGCTCGGGGTGGGGGGTGGGGGCATGGGGGATGGGCGGGTCTTTTGTCATCTTCTCCTGGGTGCCAGGTGGGGATGGGACACAGAAGAAAGGAAGTGGGTGGAGGATGGGGGACTCCTGGGGACCACGTGACACTTGGCTCAAGGGCTGGACGTCACCAGGTGGTGGTGGAGTCTTCCAGGGTAACCCTTCGGGGTGCCAAGGCCACTCCTGCCACCCTACTGCCCCCGACCTGCGAGGGGACAGCCCTGGCCAACGAGGCAACCCAAGGAGTGCGGTCTGGGGTAAGGTATGAGAGGCTCCCCCCCTCCCAGGCCGGCAGGTGGGCGGGGCCGTGACAGGGAGCGGCGGGGTGTGACTCGGTCTAAGCCATGGCCAGGTAGTGGCCACAGGGTTCCCACACCTTCCAGGCTGGCAGCTGACTGCCTGCTCACCCGTCCTGGGCCCCTCTGTTAGCCCCAGGTGTCCTTGGCCCTCCAGAACATGAGGGGGGACAGTTATCTCTGCAGGGATGAAAGCCACACAGGACGTCCCTCAGGGCTGTCACCTGCCCAGGGCTCCTGCACAACCAGGGCTCCCTCACAGCTGTCTCCTCTCACCTCTTGCCTCCAGCACCTGGAGCTCAGCTCCCCTTGGCTCCTAGCTGTGTGAGTGAGCGAGACTGTGCAAGTGAGTGTGTGAACGTGAGTCTGTGGCTCTGCACCAGGCCTCACAATGAAGTGGACACACAGAGCAATGATGTCCCTCAGGTGGGCTGTCAGTGAGCCCTGCTACATGCACGAATATGTACATGCTTGCCCACACTTGCCCACACACATGTGTACACACACATGTGCACACACATACACAGGCACACCCCTGCTTCTGCTCCAGAGGCCTTGGTGCCCTTCTCTGTGAAGACCACACCGTCCCCACAGGGAGAGCCTCGAGCTCTCTCATCAGGATATCACCACCTCGTTCTTCGGTGCTGTGCCCGAACACGGTCTGCCCTTTCAGGAGAAGAAGATCTTCGCCGTCTTCGGACACTACCCGGTGATCCGGGCCACTCTGCGGAGGAAGGGCTGGGTGGAGAAGAAATCCCACTTCCTGCCCAAAGTCCTCCCAGGCCCCGCGGACAAAGACAAGGGGGTCACTGGTAGAGTATTGGGGACACCTGGTCTTCTTGCATAGGGTGTCTGTCGTAGGGCCAGGAAGCCGGCCTTCCTGCATGTGAGGACACCACACCTGCTGGGGTCCGATCCCTGTTCTTCCACCCCCGGGCATCCTATCCAGTACTGGTCACTTGCTGGTGGCCCCACGTCCCCACCCATGCCTGGCCATCCCTCTTCCAGCTCCAGCTCCCCAAAGGCCACTCCCATGCTCCCACAGTGCAGCTGGTCTTCCCCAGAACTCTGCCCTGTGGGTCTGTCCTGAATGGGTCCCACAGTCACAGAGACCCAGGTCAAACATCCCCTCCCACCACACCTTGCATCCTGAGACTCTGCCACGCCCACCCTGAGGGTGCCTGGGCCTCCAGGATCCCTGAGCACAGCCCTGGTGGGGTGGGAATAGGTGGCCCGCAAAGGGACAGTGTGTCTGGACCATGTTGCCATCTGTTTGCTGTGGGGACTGAGTGTGGCCGGGCTCCGAAGGGCAGCACCAGTGTCGCTAGCGTCTCTCTCACATGTGTTATCTGCAGATAATAACTATGCTGAGGTCCAGGCAGATCAGGAAGTAGCCTCGGGGAAAGCTGAAGACATCCACGAGGTGATGGTAGGTTCCCGAATGGTGAGTGAGCTGCCTTCATACCCACCTCCCTGGGTCCTGTTGCAGGGGAGGACAACAGACTGGTCACACCTCTGTACCAGGCAGCCAAGGCCTGGCCACCCAGGGGCAGGGCTGGCCGGCTGAGCTGGAGGGGGCCCCGGAGAAACTGGCTTCCTTTCTATTTCTTTCCCCGTAAAGGGCCACACAGCTGGCACCTACAAGTCCTTTACAAATGTGGGTGACTGTGGGGTGCTCTGAGGCCCGGGCTGGCATGGCAGCCGGTTCCATAAGAGCCAACTGCACGTAGCAGCTACCCCTGCCTTCTCCCCTACCATTTTCTGGATATTCACCTATTGCTAATTCCTTACCCCTGGATACTTCGTACCTGCTGTGTACTTTGGTATTGTGTATGCATCTTTGACTTATTTCGGTCTACCAAAATTTGCGTTTTTGCCTCTTCCTGGGCAGTTTTAAAGCTTCATTCTACTGCTGAAGAGTCTCCCATTTTAGTTTGTCCTCACTTTTTGCTCTTTTTCTTCTTCCCTCCCTCCTTCCTTCTTCCTTTCCTCCCTTCAGTACTGGGAACTGAACCCAAGTGTGCTCTATCACTGAGCTACGGCCCTTGCTCTTATTCTTTATTTGGGGACAGGGTCTCACTGAGCTGCACAGGCTGGCCTTGAACTTGGGGTCCTCCTGCCTCAGCCTCCCAAAGTGCTGGGATCACCGACCTGTGCCACTATGCTTGGCTCTTTACCTGGATTTGACCTGTACTCCCAGGGAAAAAACGGCCAAGAAATTCCCTCTCCTGGGAAAGGCTTGCCATCCATTGCTCTTGGCTCCATAAGCACCAGTGTTGTGACACCACCTGGTGTGGGCATCGCCACAGGGAGCATCACCACCGCCCTCTGCCTCGTACCGCTGTCCCAACCCGATCACAGCAGGTGTGACTCAGCTGACTCTCTTCTCACTCAGGACACGTTTGTTACTCTCCTCGATGTTTTAGGAGACACCGGATCCTGTCTCTGCTGCTCTAACAGTCACTCCTGTTTTCTACATCCTAACCCTCTCAGGGGCCTGCATTTGTTCCACAGCCCCAGGACTGCTAGTGATATAGGAGAAGAAATAGGACCTCCAGGTAATAGAAGGGAAATCTTACAACTCCCAACCTGTTAGATGTCTGTATGTCGAGTTCTCGTTCTCTAAAAATTGAAGAATGAATTCTAGGAACAATGAAGGTTAAGAATAAGAAAATACTTATTGAGAGGAGAGCTTCTGAGAGGCAAGGACCCCACTTTACAGGGAAATTTTTATAGAGCAAAAACCATGAGGGTACAACATGCGTTAAAGCTATGATCAACCAATAAGATTACAAATATGGTTGCTGAGGTAATAGGGACCCAACAGGGAAGCCAGTCACATAGCAAGAGCACATGGAAAGAACGGAGAACCTCTCAGGCAGGTGATGGATCCGGGGGTCTCAGTCACCCACTGAGGCGACTGATGCCCATCTAGACTTTACCAGACCAGGTGTTACCACGTATCTCATCCCTTAGGGAAATATGTAGGCCTGGTCCTTTTGGGGTTATCTTGAGGCTTGGCCCCCAACTGATGTGCTTCTGCCCACAGTTGCAGTGTGTTTTCACCTTTTGTCCTGACTCTGTCAAGGGCTCAGCCCTGTTTTATTGCCTAGTATATTTTTACCTTACTCAGCTGTCTATAATACTAGGGTCACTGGCTTCCATCCTGAAAGCCTGCTTTAGTGTTTAGTCTAGCAAGTGGGGAGCACTTATTGGTTTTGTTCAGTTCGGGTTTTGTGTTTTGGGGGGTTGGTCTCAAAAAGCCTACTTTCCCCCTTCATTCTCCAAAAGACATTTTCTCTGGAGTAAGCTTCCCCGTTTGCAAAGGTTGCATCTATGCACTATCAGATGCCATGCTGTTGTCTGGCCACCTTCATCTTTGTTCGTCACCTTTTGTAGGTGTCATCTTTGTTCCCGGGAAGATCATGTCTGTTTGTCTGGGTGCTCTAAGAGTCCACCTTTTGTTTCTTAGCAGTTGCGATGTTTCTGGGAATTGTTTTCAGATATCCTTGTTGGGATGTGTGGGTGTCTGGGGTCTCTGGGGTGAGAAGTCCCTGGTCCATTGCTTCTGCCCATTCTCTTTGCCCCTCCAGGGAGCCTCCAGCTAGCATGTCACACTGCGCCCAACTTCCTTCTCCTACGACTCCACATGTAGGGATATCACTGTGCCCGGTTCCCCGACCCCAGGCTCTTCTGCATGACCCCCATGCAGCCCTTCTAACATCTGTGTCTGATTCCCTACTGGCCTATCTTTTACCCCAACGCTCTGGCCAATTTTAGTGACTGTGTGTTTTTGACCTAATTCATCACTGGAAGAGCTCCTCCTACTGACTCATTTTTGTCACAGATTTCCCTTGTCTTCTTGTATATGAGTCACTCTAGATGCATTTCCCTCTGGCTCAGGAAGGTGGTCACTTTCCTGGTTTATTAGCATCGGATGTGTCCTTCGGTGCAGTTGCATTCAAGTTTCCTGCCTGTTCCTCTGCTGTCCTGTTTGTCTCCCTCACACTAGTCTGTAGGGCTTCTCTGCGTGTCCTGCCTGAGAGGCCATGTCTGACAGATGTGTCACAAACATCTGCACCCATTCTGTGGGGCCCAGCTTACCTGCTCCTCCTTGTGACTGGCGCCTGGATCACTGTCCAGGCTGTGTGGACAGAGGTTGTGAGTGGCCTTTGGAATGGAAAACAACCTGTCCTGGGACTGACTTCACCAACTTGGGCTGTGGTCGTCAGGCTGGAGGAATCTGATTCTTTCTCATCTACTATTTCCCCTTAAGTTTAAAAAATATATTTAGACTAATAATTTGATTGCTATAGAAGTTCACTTATTATAAATGTACAATTCAATAAATTGCAGTAATTTCATAGAGTGGTTCAGTGAATGCCACACTTGGCTTTGGGACATTGGTCCCTTGTGGTC